CAGTGCTGTAGAAGTTACGTGTGATACATCCCAAGAGTTTCCGTGACTTGGGTCTGATATATTCTGTCTGTTCCGAGAATGTCAAGTCTCTGGGATACCAGATGCCAAGATCTAGCACAGAAGCCCGTCTAGGTAGCTGTTTTCCGCATACCTCGAGGTTCAGGTCATGGTTGTCGTTGCCTATAATAAGCCAACCGCATTTTTCATTACTAAATTCAAGGTTCGGCTCAGCACACCATGAAGCAAGTTTACCTAGTTCCCGTCGAGCAGTATCTAGAGTATTACGTAGTTCATGAGAGTGGCAAGTGTACACAATCTTCAAGTGATTGGCGTTTTTGATTGTTTTGCCTTCACTGAAGCAGTTACACACACTGTTGATACAAATTATGAACAACAAAGGCCCAAGGATACTACCCTGTATAACTCCGCTAGCTATATATCTTGGTTCAGGCTGCACGGAGTTTACTTTCACGATGTGAGCACGACCACTAATAAGTGATTTTATCCAGCTAAGTAAGGGGTCACAAATAAAAACTGATTGTAGCTTATCAAAGAGTACGTTATGAGACACCTGATCAAATGCCTTTGATATATCAAAGTATAGAACAGTGATGATTTTACGTGCCTCACGGTTACTAGTGATGAATTTGAAGAAATCGAAGTGGCAGGTAACGCAGGACCTATTCTTTATGAAATCATGCTGAGACTTTGTGATTAGGGTTTCTGTTAATAGGTAATCAGAGATGCTGCTCTTAATTACTTTTCCATAATTCTAGAGAGGATTAGTGTTATGTTGATGGGTCTGTAATTATTGGCGTTCGATTTGTCCCCGGATGTCTTTGATACCACAAGTGCTTTATACCATATTACCACTTTCAACGCGGACGGTGGCAGGCATGTCCCATCCACCTTTTTAAATCACACTTCCGCATCTGATTTTGTCCTTGGACTGCCACCTTTGAACAAGCTTCCCAGGATTTATAACAGGCTCTGCATAGCGAACGGTCTTCATTCTCGTATCCCTGAGAGCAAGCAAAGAGTCGCACTCAAGAAAGAACTCCCCATTTCACTGCTTGGGAAGGCTGGCGTTCCATGACATGGTGTCCTTTCCCTTTATTATTATCTTTTCTCCCTCCTTCATTTACCTTCTTCAGCTAAAATCTTGTTAAGCGTACGGATAATCCGGCAGTATCCATACCGGTAATCTCATCAAATTTTTGTATTCATTAACGTCTTGACCAAGACTGCAAACTGGTCTGTCTTGAGTACCACCATACTCTATCCAACCAGATTTCGGATGATTAATTTCATCTCCAGACGTAAATGGCTTCCGTACCACTAACGCCTCCGCAGTGCAGAACATACCATGTGTAAACTTTCATTTTGTGCTTTCCTTCCGACCTTTCTTCGTCGGCTTCGTATACTACCGACTTGGTCTGAACGTGAGAAACAGTTAGGCGAGACCAGACTAACACGATCCAGACAAATTCCTGCGTTCTACTATATGGCGCCGAGCTTTCGTGAGTGACGCACAGTCAGAAGTCGGTTCGACCATATAGAAACACGATTCGTAGTAACTTGGCGACAGGTTTGCAATATATCTGTGATCATCGTCTTCAGGACTTCGGTATGCAACGACCAACATCCGCAGGTAACCATTATCGCGTACGGCCTTTTCAATGTTTGTCAAGTCTTCTTCCAATCTGTCGCTGCAACATTACCCTACAACTCAGTAATATGGTGCTTTATCAAATATCAGTTCGAAATTCATCGCATAAAAGCTGCGCGTTCCGTTCCATGTACCATTTTACGGCTGTGCCCTCGGTGGGTACCATATGTTCTACTTTCCAAGGCGATATCTAGGAGTTTGAATTTAACGCTGCTTTCATATTCTGTGACGAGCCCAGTATCTTCAAGGATGCCCTCGGAAATTTCTAGCACGTAAGTCGCACGCCATGGGTCGTTGCAAGGAATAAGAGTATCTTCAACGTGTCTGGATTAACGTGTCGTCTATGCAGTTGCATGTACAAGCTTCGTTTTCTCCAGGATAGCCGCATGGATATCTGTCGACATGCGGCACGGTGGACTGTCCATCACTAACTCCATCAGTCTCGCTGTATACAGTCTTGTTGAACTGAAAGCGGCAGTCTTTATTGCACATCAATAGCGGGCCTCTGAACCCCGAAATCGGTGGTGGGAGGAATTATTTTGGGATGCATCTGGCAACATTTTAGCCCTGAAACACGTTTTTGACAGTGAAGTTTACTCTGCTCTCTCCCAACCCCAAATTTCCTAATAAGAGTCTAAAACGCGTGAGTTCACGATGACGTTCTAGATGAACAGTGTTCTCTGAGATTTAAATAAATATTATATTCTCATATTGGTAATTTGACTGTCTGAAGAAAATGAACTGGCCTTCCGAAATAAATGAAACCAGTTCGCTTGAACCCTAAAGTTCAATCCAGTAACCTGCTGGTCCTTAGGAAAAGTCATGCATCTTCCGCGCCCCTGGGTCATGAAAAAAGTACTTGCTATCGTTTACAACTGCTTCTGCGACAAGTTTTCACTTTTCTTGCAATCATTTTGCCACCAAAGTATCGTGTCCGAGATGAGTAGATTAAAGTACCTACAAGTGAGTGATGTTCGGAGTACCATCTGCTGGAGTGTCAAGCCTAAAGTCTCAAAATCCCATCGCACTGACTTTACTTTTCTCAGACACTTGATTTTCCGACGCACCATGGGGGAAAGAGCTGAGAAATCGTCGAGTAACTCCAGCGATATCAGCATGCACATAAAAAGCGATCTCGCACAAACTTAATAAAATATCAAGGAGTATAACAGGGAAGACTGGTGATTATGAGTATTCCTAGTCCTATAGATTAAGGGACTCATTAAAAGCAAGATGGATAAGCAAATGATCAAACGTTGCCAGCGTACGCCGTTAGTAAAATGTATGTGCTTCTGTGTTTATTCGACATTTGCCTGGGTTAGAGAGCCAAAATGGCCTTTTCTACTTTCTGTGGCAGAGTGCCGTTTACCGCCAATGCACGGAGAGAATGAGCCACATTTAAACTTGGCCGCCTCGTCGGATACATGGGTAACAACCCTGCGAAACTTCCAATTATAGACCAACATTTCGGTCTTATCGATGACGTTCATTTGTTAGCTGATCTGTAAGTTTTGTTTAGGTTATCTCTTTTCATGCAATTATGCATGACGAGCATAACTAATTGCTTTAGCTGTTGTCTGCATGTTTCGTCTACCACTTTGACGACCAAGTATGCTGTGGTTCTCTACATCTCCGAAACACTTGCACGCCGTTTTGATAGAAGGACCACTGTGGTCTAATACAGACCGCAAAGAACGTGAAGGACGCCACGGCGATAAGGGGGAAAGCCGATCTCTTAAAAGATGCATAGTGTTGCTATACTCTACAGTCATCCCCCTTCGGTGGTGTCCGTATCCACCCCGTCAGAAAACTAAGCACTATAAAAGACTTGCAGCAACTCAAGCTCTGGTCGTCGGAAATGGCTTGAGCTTCAACCTGGAAAAGTGCAAAGTAATGCACATCAGTAAAAATGAAGCAAGCACGACCGACTTTTTCAAATCTCACGTGCGGCCGCACCTGGAAGTCTTCAGTACGGTGGCTCCTCCAACACTCAAGAGAGACTAATCCCCTTGAAAGAATACAAAGAACTGCAACAAAGTGTGTTGTGGGGCTAAGGGGAAAGACGTATCCTGAAAGACTTAAATAACTCAACCTATTTACCTTGGGTTATCGCAGGAAAAGGGATGACCTCATTATGGCATACAAGATAGCCCATCAGGCAGACTATGCAAACAAATCAATTTTGCATGCAGCTCAACGATCTTCACGAGGAAACCCCATTAAGATAGCACACCAGAGAGCCAACACCACACTCAGGTCCAAATTTTCCTCCCTAAGAGTATGTGCTTTATGGAATGCCTTACCGCGACACATCGTTATGGCCCCTTCAGTCGACTCATTCAAGAGACGATTAGACAGTTATGTCACCTCTCATGGACTACCACGGACGTACTCAGGTATTCACCAACCTCAGTACTCCCTAACTCCCGCCTAACTACCACTCGCTGTCTCCCTCCTTAATACACCCACATTACCTACTAATGCTTCTGTAGGAACCAAACCCACGCGACCATTCGGGCAATTCCCAAATACTTTTCTTTCGTTCTCTTTTCACCCCTCCTTTTCTTCTCCTTCCCTTTTCTCTTCCCTATACTATTATTATTTTCCCCCTTTTTTTATTCTCTCTTCATTCCTTTACCACTACCTTACTATCCTCTTTCAGGTACCTACACAGACAGGAGTCACGGCAGTTCTCTAAACTTCCCAGCAACCCGTAGCCCCCTAATCACTCTACAAATTACAACCTATTAACCCACAAAACATCCACCTCACCGAAGCTAAAAGCAAGAAAGCAGAGGGGATTTCCTCATCCACTGCAGGAGTAAACCGAACAACTCGAACCAAGCCCTAAGAACTAGACGCGAGAGATCAAAAACTACCATTTTTCTACGCTCGCACTATCAATATTGGACATTGGGTTTCTTCTTCCGCGACATATCCTTTTCCCCAATCTTTTTTCCTTTTTTTCCCTTTCTTTTTCTGTTCTGTCTTTCTCAGCACTTTCCATTGATTTCTCTGCACATATTTTTCATCCCCATTTAACAACCAGTCAGACCAATTGTTTACTGACACGACACCTGAGGAGCTCATCTGCACCACAATCCTCGGCAGGAAAAATACAAACAAACAACACTCCCTACAAATTGAACCAACACCCAACCCCCAGTCAGGCTAACCAGAGTTATAGCAGCCGAGTGGGTAGACGTACTGCATTAGAATCCACCAAAGACCTGGAACTGTTCCACAAGACCTAGAAGCGAGAGCGTAGAAATCAATTGGTTTACACTAGCTCATAAAAAGATATTGGATATTGGATATTGAGTGCCAGTGAGTGGTCTTTCCTAAGGTCATGGTTGACGCGAGAGATCAAAAACTACCAGTTTTCTACGCTGGCACTATCAATATTGGATATTGGACCTCAGAAAGGGCTAGGAATTAAAATCAGTTGCATTTTAAGATTTAGTTATTGGAGGTGCTACTTTGAGATGCTTACACCACAAGGATTATTCATTAGCCACCTAAGTTTGATCTGTCATGGTCAAAATATTCGTAAATACTCTGAGAAGTAAAAAACTTTTACTTTAAATCATTCATAGGGTCAAAACGGGTATCATGCTTCTCAATATGGGTGGTCCTCAAACTACAAACGATGTGTATCCTTTCTTGAGGCGTCTCTTCTCTGACAAGGAAATTATCCGTATGCCATTCCAAGAGTACTGCAAATTTTTCCTAACATTTCAGTTCTCTGGCACGATTTGTAGCTCTGAGGAGGTCTCCGAAGATTGAACGCCAGTACTCCCACATAGGAGGAGGGTCTCCCATACTGTACTGGACTAAATTACAAGGTGAAATGATGACTCGGCACTTAGATACAATCAGTCCGGAAAGTGGTAAGATTTCGTATTGGTACACTAATTGAGTTTTTAAATAGCCCCTCATAAGTTCTACGTTGCATTCCGTTACGTTCATCCTCTTGTAGAATCTTGCGTTAATGAAATGGAAAAGTAATTTGGTCGTTTCTGATGAATTAGTTCAGTTTAGAGATCGTGTTGAACGTGCTGTTGCCTTCAGCCAGTATCCGCAGTACAGCTGTACGACTTCAGGCAGTAGCTTTAATGCCATTGTTCGTCACTATTTAAGTACGAAGAAAATTTTCAATGGAGTTGAAAGCATTGAGCTTCCTCCGGTTCAAAATAACAATCCAGGACCAGTTTGGTCATTCATTGACAGGTGGCCAGTTTCTCCTCATTTGGTTAAAACCTTTGCCAATAAAATTCTTCAGGAACTTCATAGTATTGAGGATGAAACAGAACGGGCAAACACTGTCTTGCTTTTTAGTGCTCATTCAATACCAATGTCCGTCGTAAACCGTGGTGATCCATATCCCCAAGTAAGTGAGGTTTTTGTCAGTGGTTCTCTGTTACCTCAAAGTTTTGTGATACCCAGTCAACATTTTCTAGCAGCAAACCGAGGGACTGTGTGTAAGACTGTATTAAATACGCTGGGCAGAATGAAAGGTTTCGCACCAACTCCCCATGCATTACTTGATGCATTCTTGACTCGCGTTTTGCCCTTATTTTCTTACAAGTTACTCCTCGTTTTTCCCAAGTGCACATTGTTTTCTTTAGGTTCCCTAGGGATTTCGTAAGGCACCCTAAGATTGAGAATCTCATACCTTCTAAACGAGCCGAAGTATAGAAAGCAGTAGTGCATATTGTAAATTGATGTCCTATTAAAACTTGCTGTTGTCATTATATATCGGCAACACATTACTGGCCAATAGCTGCTACATTGACGTAGTGGTCGGGCTTGCATATCACAGTGACTCAACGAGCTACACCGTCTGGAACGCTTGTTCCGTACTGTACCAGAAAGGTCTGTTGGATAGTGGTAAGATGAAAAGCAGTTACCATTGTAGTTTACATTACTACACTAGAATGGAGGTCCAAGAGCGAAGTGGTACTACTGGCTGGATAGGGTGTGATGACACTAGGGTGTTTCCCTTGGATGACCAGGAGTGCCACGCTGGTACTGCCTTCCTTATTGGAAGGGGTGGTTACAAAAGGTTGGCCCCCAAAATAACAGACTCCTAACTCCCCCCACCCCACGGTCTTCCTGTAACCTCAACCATGGATTCATAATAGATTCGAAACTATTATTATCATTATTTGTTCCTTACGTTCCTAATTGAACATAAGGCTTCAGTAGCACGCCTCCATTTCACTCCCTTCTCTCCAGTCTTTTGACCCTGGCTCCATGACTGCCCACAAGCTTTCATTTCCTCCTCACATGATCTCCCCCATGTCACCCTCGGATACTCAACTCATCGTTTCCCCTTCGGGTTCCGCTCGAGGGCCTGGTCTGGCGCATGATATCCCCAATCGGTCTTCTCAGTGTATGTCCAATTCAATTCATCTCAACTTTCTTCTACATATTTGTTGGGCGATGGGTTCTTGGTTGGTTCGTTCCCAGAGTTCCTTGTTGCTTATTCTTTCTGGCCATTTCATCTTCAGTATCGAACGTAGGCAGCTGTTGATGAATGTCTGTAGTTTGTTGGAAACGCTCTTCATAACGCGCCAAGTTTCTGAACCATCACATGGAAGCACTGACTTGGTTGACTCAGTGTTGAAAATCCGGATCTTGATCAGGTATAACTTACCCTACTTATATTTTTCTCCTCTTTCGACTTCACTCCCTGATACCAAGATTACAACTTCTACAACTTCCTCAGTCTCACTCTGTATCCACTGCCAACTATCCAAGCCATCAAAACATCTCTATTCCCCTAAGACCACACTGTCGTTCTCACGTTGGATCTTGAGACTTCCTACACCTATGGATAATCGGACAGCAGGCATCTGCTAGAACCCTAGAATTTTCAGCCATGGACGTGTTCAGCGTCTCCGAAACACGTATACAATAACCGAGTGTGATTGTTAAACTGACCTCATCTGACCACAATAGTGAATCTTCAAAATTCACCTTAAGTGTCCGGAACCCCAATGGCTAGCTCTACTCCTTTTGCGAGTGTAGACATAGAGAACCTACTTCTTGACTGATACCAGTCAGCAGCCATCTTTATGCTGTTCGACTGAATGGATCTGTAAAAACTACGAAGGATTGTGAGACTAACCAATACTTATTCGTAATCTCCACCGATGCACCCCTAACCAATTCGGATGATGCAAATGAATTCAATGAAAAGCTGTCAATTTTACTACATAAAGCAAACGTTCAGCTAGAGTCATGGTAGTAGAGGACTTCAATGCTCAAGTAACAAAGCCGAGTCAATCGGAAAGGCATCATGGAGGTATCTACAGAATCTTATGCCAACAAACTGGCAACGGTGACCGTGTGTTGCAATTTTGTTCTGCCAATCGCTTATTTCCGGCCAGCACTAACTTTGAGCTATTTCAAATGGCGTCCGCCGACATTAAACCAACTATGGACACAGATAATCATACTGCTGAGCCATCGTCAGAGAGGATCGGCGGAGGATTACAACCTTTTCTAGAGTACCTGTTTGGACTCCAATCAGGCGTTGGTACGGGCTCGTTTACATCTGCAGAAGACCAGCAGCATTGAAGCCTTTCTATAGTCGACTGGAAGATGAGGACGCCAAGTATGTATTTTGGGATGAGTTAGCTAATCATTTGTCTGAACGTGACAGGAATGCTTATCCTGAGGAAACCAGACGTAACATTAAGTCCGCTGTAGAAACGATGGTAGAGACAGTTGGTAACTTACACCCGAAGGTTAACAAACGTCACTGGATTTTCGCAACGTCATCCGAACTGATAGATGCGAGAAGACTGATTCCAGCTGGCTCTGACCACAGTGAAAAGCGAAAGCAACTGAAACGTAGATTGATCAAGTCTTCTCAATGATGGCGAGTAGTAGTGGGTGGCGAGAGCGGGAGAGATAGAGAAGGCATCAGCGTTGGGTAACACCCGGTAACTAGTTAGGATAGTTAAGGATACAGCCAAGAAGACGATGGTTAGTGCAACCATCATCGAAGAAAAAAGGAGACACTGACAACCTCTCAAAATAGGCGACTGGAACGTTGGGTGGAACACTAAAGCACAGTTCACCTGGCCCTCAGTAACGCTTCAGTTGCCCAACATCCAGCCTGAACCTGAATCGGATGTAGATGTCGGTCTTCTAACTCTCCTTGAAGTTGGGAAGGTTGTTTCGAACTTGAAACGATGCAAAGCATCAGGAACTGACGGATTACCACCCATATTTTTAGACATGAAGGTGGCATTTGACTCAGTCAAACGTGAGGTGTTGTGGCTGTTAACGTTCGTGTTCAACTTCGTTATGGGCGTACTAATTGACATAAGTTTAGGTACGTCTGACTTCACAGGGGCTGACCTAATCCCTGGATGTCATCTGGTTGACTTACAGTATGCAGACGATATTGTCTTGCTAGGTGAAGATGCTGACAAAATGCAGGGTCTTCTGGACGCGTTGAGCGGAAATCCGAGTATGTTTGGGATGCGTTTCGTTACGCACCTATCAACTGTGAAAGGATACTCTACAATTTGTCTGCAACCGCTCCCCGTTTAATGATAGGGAGTGGAAGGGTTAGATATGTCGACTACTTCACTTACTTGAGGAGTTACATCAGCTCGAACTGACTGGTCGCTCACAAAATCTCAACTCGGATACAGAAAGCCCGTTTGGCACTTGCCAACTCGCATCACCTGTAGCGCTGACTGGTGAGATATCCCACTATCTATCAAAGGACAAATAAATTACGATCCAGTCCGTTCTGTCCTGCCGTACGGCTGTGAGAAATGGCTGTTAACAGTAGACGACATGAAGCGGTTACCGATTTTTGATCACGAGTATTTTCGTAGCGTTGCTCGCGTTTGGTGGGATCACCGTGTGAGCTATTTTGTCGACAGGATTCGTTGAGCTAGCTGTTCTGCAGTTTTCTGTTTCGACGACAGCATCATGTATGACCTAAAGCATAACCTTCCCAAAGTAGTTAGAGTAATAATCATGATATCGGTGAGCTACTTACTTCGGTATGCAACGACCAACATCCGCAGGTAACCATTATCGCGTACGGCCTTTTCAATGTTTGTCAAGTCTTCTTCCAATCTGTCGCTGCAACATTACCCTACAACTCAGTAATATGGTGCTTTATCAAATATCAGTTCGAAATTCATCGCATAAAAGCTGCGCGTTCCGTTCCATGTACCATTTTACGGCTGTGCCCTCGGTGGGTACCATATGTTCTACTTTCCAAGGCGATATCTAGGAGTTTGAATTTAACGCTGCTTTCATATTCTGTGACGAGCCCAGTATCTTCAAGGATGCCCTCGGAAATTTCTAGCACGTAAGTCGCACGCCATGGGTCGTTGCAAGGAATAAGAGTATCTTCAACGTGTCTGGATTAACGTGTCGTCTATGCAGTTGCATGTACAAGCTTCGTTTTCTCCAGGATAGCCGCATGGATATCTGTCGACATGCGGCACGGTGGACTGTCCATCACTAACTCCATCAGTCTCGCTGTATACAGTCTTGTTGAACTGAAAGCGGCAGTCTTTATTGCACATCAATAGCGGGCCTCTGAACCCCGAAATCGGTGGTGGGAGGAATTATTTTGGGATGCATCTGGCAACATTTTAGCCCTGAAACACGTTTTTGACAGTGAAGTTTACTCTGCTCTCTCCCAACCCCAAATTTCCTAATAAGAGTCTAAAACGCGTGAGTTCACGATGACGTTCTAGATGAACAGTGTTCTCTGAGATTTAAATAAATATTATATTCTCATATTGGTAATTTGACTGTCTGAAGAAAATGAACTGGCCTTCCGAAATAAATGAAACCAGTTCGCTTGAACCCTAAAGTTCAATCCAGTAACCTGCTGGTCCTTAGGAAAAGTCATGCATCTTCCGCGCCCCTGGGTCATGAAAAAAGTACTTGCTATCGTTTACAACTGCTTCTGCGACAAGTTTTCACTTTTCTTGCAATCATTTTGCCACCAAAGTATCGTGTCCGAGATGAGTAGATTAAAGTACCTACAAGTGAGTGATGTTCGGAGTACCATCTGCTGGAGTGTCAAGCCTAAAGTCTCAAAATCCCATCGCACTGACTTTACTTTTCTCAGACACTTGATTTTCCGACGCACCATGGGGGAAAGAGCTGAGAAATCGTCGAGTAACTCCAGCGATATCAGCATGCACATAAAAAGCGATCTCGCACAAACTTAATAAAATATCAAGGAGTATAACAGGGAAGACTGGTGATTATGAGTATTCCTAGTCCTATAGATTAAGGGACTCATTAAAAGCAAGATGGATAAGCAAATGATCAAACGTTGCCAGCGTACGCCGTTAGTAAAATGTATGTGCTTCTGTGTTTATTCGACATTTGCCTGGGTTAGAGAGCCAAAATGGCCTTTTCTACTTTCTGTGGCAGAGTGCCGTTTACCGCCAATGCACGGAGAGAATGAGCCACATTTAAACTTGGCCGCCTCGTCGGATACATGGGTAACAACCCTGCGAAACTTCCAATTATAGACCAACATTTCGGTCTTATCGATGACGTTCATTTGTTAGCTGATCTGTAAGTTTTGTTTAGGTTATCTCTTTTCATGCAATTATGCATGACGAGCATAACTAATTGCTTTAGCTGTTGTCTGCATGTTTCGTCTACCACTTTGACGACCAAGTATGCTGTGGTTCTCTACATCTCCGAAACACTTGCACGCCGTTTTGATAGAAGGACCACTGTGGTCTAATACAGACCGCAAAGAACGTGAAGGACGCCACGGCGATAAGGGGGAAAGCCGATCTCTTAAAAGATGCATAGTGTTGCTATACTCTACAGTCATCCCCCTTCGGTGGTGTCCGTATCCACCCCGTCAGAAAACTAAGCACTATAAAAGACTTGCAGCAACTCAAGCTCTGGTCGTCGGAAATGGCTTGAGCTTCAACCTGGAAAAGTGCAAAGTAATGCACATCAGTAAAAATGAAGCAAGCACGACCGACTTTTTCAAATCTCACGTGCGGCCGCACCTGGAAGTCTTCAGTACGGTGGCTCCTCCAACACTCAAGAGAGACTAATCCCCTTGAAAGAATACAAAGAACTGCAACAAAGTGTGTTGTGGGGCTAAGGGGAAAGACGTATCCTGAAAGACTTAAATAACTCAACCTATTTACCTTGGGTTATCGCAGGAAAAGGGATGACCTCATTATGGCATACAAGATAGCCCATCAGGCAGACTATGCAAACAAATCAATTTTGCATGCAGCTCAACGATCTTCACGAGGAAACCCCATTAAGATAGCACACCAGAGAGCCAACACCACACTCAGGTCCAAATTTTCCTCCCTAAGAGTATGTGCTTTATGGAATGCCTTACCGCGACACATCGTTATGGCCCCTTCAGTCGACTCATTCAAGAGACGATTAGACAGTTATGTCACCTCTCATGGACTACCACGGACGTACTCAGGTATTCACCAACCTCAGTACTCCCTAACTCCCGCCTAACTACCACTCGCTGTCTCCCTCCTTAATACACCCACATTACCTACTAATGCTTCTGTAGGAACCAAACCCACGCGACCATTCGGGCAATTCCCAAATACTTTTCTTTCGTTCTCTTTTCACCCCTCCTTTTCTTCTCCTTCCCTTTTCTCTTCCCTATACTATTATTATTTTCCCCCTTTTTTTATTCTCTCTTCATTCCTTTACCACTACCTTACTATCCTCTTTCAGGTACCTACACAGACAGGAGTCACGGCAGTTCTCTAAACTTCCCAGCAACCCGTAGCCCCCTAATCACTCTACAAATTACAACCTATTAACCCACAAAACATCCACCTCACCGAAGCTAAAAGCAAGAAAGCAGAGGGGATTTCCTCATCCACTGCAGGAGTAAACCGAACAACTCGAACCAAGCCCTAAGAACTAGACGCGAGAGATCAAAAACTACCATTTTTCTACGCTCGCACTATCAATATTGGACATTGGGTTTCTTCTTCCGCGACATATCCTTTTCCCCAATCTTTTTTCCTTTTTTTCCCTTTCTTTTTCTGTTCTGTCTTTCTCAGCACTTTCCATTGATTTCTCTGCACATATTTTTCATCCCCATTTAACAACCAGTCAGACCAATTGTTTACTGACACGACACCTGAGGAGCTCATCTGCACCACAATCCTCGGCAGGAAAAATACAAACAAACAACACTCCCTACAAATTGAACCAACACCCAACCCCCAGTCAGGCTAACCAGAGTTATAGCAGCCGAGTGGGTAGACGTACTGCATTAGAATCCACCAAAGACCTGGAACTGTTCCACAAGACCTAGAAGCGAGAGCGTAGAAATCAATTGGTTTACACTAGCTCATAAAAAGATATTGGATATTGGATATTGAGTGCCAGTGAGTGGTCTTTCCTAAGGTCATGGTTGACGCGAGAGATCAAAAACTACCAGTTTTCTACGCTGGCACTATCAATATTGGATATTGGACCTCAGAAAGGGCTAGGAATTAAAATCAGTTGCATTTTAAGATTTAGTTATTGGAGGTGCTACTTTGAGATGCTTACACCACAAGGATTATTCATTAGCCACCTAAGTTTGATCTGTCATGGTCAAAATATTCGTAAATACTCTGAGAAGTAAAAAACTTTTACTTTAAATCATTCATAGGGTCAAAACGGGTATCATGCTTCTCAATATGGGTGGTCCTCAAACTACAAACGATGTGTATCCTTTCTTGAGGCGTCTCTTCTCTGACAAGGAAATTATCCGTATGCCATTCCAAGAGTACTGCAAATTTTTCCTAACATTTCAGTTCTCTGGCACGATTTGTAGCTCTGAGGAGGTCTCCGAAGATTGAACGCCAGTACTCCCACATAGGAGGAGGGTCTCCCATACTGTACTGGACTAAATTACAAGGTGAAATGATGACTCGGCACTTAGATACAATCAGTCCGGAAAGTGGTAAGATTTCGTATTGGTACACTAATTGAGTTTTTAAATAGCCCCTCATAAGTTCTACGTTGCATTCCGTTACGTTCATCCTCTTGTAGAATCTTGCGTTAATGAAATGGAAAAGTAATTTGGTCGTTTCTGATGAATTAGTTCAGTTTAGAGATCGTGTTGAACGTGCTGTTGCCTTCAGCCAGTATCCGCAGTACAGCTGTACGACTTCAGGCAGTAGCTTTAATGCCATTGTTCGTCACTATTTAAGTACGAAGAAAATTTTCAATGGAGTTGAAAGCATTGAGCTTCCTCCGGTTCAAAATAACAATCCAGGACCAGTTTGGTCATTCATTGACAGGTGGCCAGTTTCTCCTCATTTGGTTAAAACCTTTGCCAATAAAATTCTTCAGGAACTTCATAGTATTGAGGATGAAACAGAACGGGCAAACACTGTCTTGCTTTTTAGTGCTCATTCAATACCAATGTCCGTCGTAAACCGTGGTGATCCATATCCCCAAGTAAGTGAGGTTTTTGTCAGTGGTTCTCTGTTACCTCAAAGTTTTGTGATACCCAGTCAACATTTTCTAGCAGCAAACCGAGGGACTGTGTGTAAGACTGTATTAAATACGCTGGGCAGAATGAAAGGTTTCGCACCAACTCCCCATGCATTACTTGATGCATTCTTGACTCGCGTTTTGCCCTTATTTTCTTACAAGTTACTCCTCGTTTTTCCCAAGTGCACATTGTTTTCTTTAGGTTCCCTAGGGATTTCGTAAGGCACCCTAAGATTGAGAATCTCATACCTTCTAAACGAGCCGAAGTATAGAAAGCAGTAGTGCATATTGTAAATTGATGTCCTATTAAAACTTGCTGTTGTCATTATATATCGGCAACACATTACTGGCCAATAGCTGCTACATTGACGTAGTGGTCGGGCTTGCATATCACAGTGACTCAACGAGCTACACCGTCTGGAACGCTTGTTCCGTACTGTACCAGAAAGGTCTGTTGGATAGTGGTAAGATGAAAAGCAGTTACCATTGTAGTTTACATTACTACACTAGAATGGAGGTCCAAGAGCGAAGTGGTACTACTGGCTGGATAGGGTGTGATGACACTAGGGTGTTTCCCTTGGATGACCAGGAGTGCCACGCTGGTACTGCCTTCCTTATTGGAAGGGGTGGTTACAAAAGGTTGGCCCCCAAAATAACAGACTCCTAACTCCCCCACCCCACGGTCTTCCTGTAACCTCAACCATGGATTCATAATAGATTCGAAACTATTATTATCATTATTTGTTCCTTACGTTCCTAATTGAACATAAGGCTTCAGTAGCACGCCTCCATTTCACTCCCTTCTCTCCAGTCTTTTGACCCTGGCTCCATGACTGCCCACAAGCTTTCATTTCCTCCTCACATGATCTCCCCCATGTCACCCTCGGATACTCAACTCATCGTTTCCCCTTCGGGTTCCGCTCGAGGGCCTGGTCTGGCGCATGATATCCCCAATCGGTCTTCTCAGTGTATGTCCAATTCAATTCATCTCAACTTTCTTCTACATATTTGTTGGGCGATGGGTTCTTGGTTGGTTCGTTCCCAGAGTTCCTTGTTGCTTATTCTTTCTGGCCATTTCATCTTCAGTATCGAACGTAGGCAGCTGTTGATGAATGTCTGTAGTTTGTTGGAAACGCTCTTCATAACGCGCCAAGTTTCTGAACCATCACATGGAAGCACTGACTTGGTTGACTCAGTGTTGAAAATCCGGATCTTGATCAGGTATAACTTACCCTACTTATATTTTTCTCCTCTTTCGACTTCACTCCCTGATACCAAGATTACAACTTCTACAACTTCCTCAGTCTCACTCTGTATCCACTGCCAACTATCCAAGCCATCAAAACATCTCTATTCCCCTAAGACCACACTGTCGTTCTCACGTTGGATCTTGAGACTTCCTACACCTATGGATAATCGGACAGCAGGCATCTGCTAGAACCCTAGAATTTTCAGCCATGGACGTGTTCAGCGTCTCCGAAACACGTATACAATAACCGAGTGTGATTGTTAAACTGACCTCATCTGACCACAATAGTGAATCTTCAAAATTCACCTTAAGTGTCCGGAACCCCAATGGCTAGCTCTACTCCTTTTGCGAGTGTAGACATAGAGAACCTACTTCTTGACTGATACCAGTCAGCAGCCATCTTTATGCTGTTCGACTGAATGGATCTGTAAAAACTACGAAGGATTGTGAGACTAACCAATACTTATTCGTAATCTCCACCGATGCACCCCTAACCAATTCGGATGATGCAAATGAATTCAATGAAAAGCTGTCAATTTTACTACATAAAGCAAACGTTCAGCTAGAGTCATGGTAGTAGAGGACTTCAATGCTCAAGTAACAAAGCCGAGTCAATCGGAAAGGCATCATGGAGGTATCTACAGAATCTTATGCCAACAAACTGGCAACGGTGACCGTGTGTTGCAATTTTGTTCTGCCAATCGCTTATTTCCGGCCAGCACTAACTTTGAGCTATTTCAAATGGCGTCCGCCGACATTAAACCAACTATGGACACAGATAATCATACTGCTGAGCCATCGTCAGAGAGGATCGGCGGAGGATTACAACCTTTTCTAGAGTACCTGTTTGGACTCCAATCAGGCGTTGGTACGGGCTCGTTTACATCTGCAGAAGACCAGCAGCATTGAAGCCTTTCTATAGTCGACTGGAAGATGAGGACGCCAAGTATGTATTTTGGGATGAGTTAGCTAATCATTTGTCTGAACGTGACAGGAATGCTTATCCTGAGGAAACCAGACGTAACATTAAGTCCGCTGTAGAAACGATGGTAGAGACAGTTGGTAACTTACACCCGAAGGTTAACAAACGTCACTGGATTTTCGCAACGTCATCCGAACTGATAGATGCGAGAAGACTGATTCCAGCTGGCTCTGACCACAGTGAAAAGCGAAAGCAACTGAAACGTAGATTGATCAAGTCTTCTCAATGATGGCGAGTAGTAGTGGGTGGCGAGAGCGGGAGAGATAGAGAAGGCATCAGCGTTGGGTAACACCCGGTAACTAGTTAGGATAGTTAAGGATACAGCCAAGAAGACGATGGTTAGTGCAACCATCATCGAAGAAAAAAGGAGACACTGACAACCTCTCAAAATAGGCGACTGGAACGTTGGGTGGAACACTAAAGCACAGTTCACCTGGCCCTCAGTAACGCTTCAGTTGCCCAACATCCAGCCTGAACCTGAATCGGATGTAGATGTCGGTCTTCTAACTCTCCTTGAAGTTGGGAAGGTTGTTTCGAACTTGAAACGATGCAAAGCATCAGGAACTGACGGATTACCACCCATATTTTTAGACATGAAGGTGGCATTTGACTCAGTCAAACGTGAGGTGTTGTGGCTGTTAACGTTCGTGTTCAACTTCGTTATGGGCGTACTAATTGACATAAGTTTAGGTACGTCTGACTTCACAGGGGCTGACCTAATCCCTGGATGTCATCTGGTTGACTTACAGTATGCAGACGATATTGTCTTGCTAGGTGAAGATGCTGACAAAATGCAGGGTCTTCTGGACGCGTTGAGCGGAAATCCGAGTATGTTTGGGATGCGTTTCGTTACGCACCTATCAACTGTGAAAGGATACTCTACAATTTGTCTGCAACCGCTCCCCGTTTAATGATAGGGAGTGGAAGGGTTAGATATGTCGACTACTTCACTTACTTGAGGAGTTACATCAGCTCGAACTGACTGGTCGCTCACAAAATCTCAACTCGGATACAGAAAGCCCGTTTGGCACTTGCCAACTCGCATCACCTGTAGCGCTGACTGGTGAGATATCCCACTATCTATCAAAGGACAAATAAATTACGATCCAGTCCGTTCTGTCCTGCCGTACGGCTGTGAGAAATGGCTGTTAACAGTAGACGACATGAAGCGGTTACCGATTTTTGATCACGAGTATTTTCGTAGCGTTGCTCGCGTTTGGTGGGATCACCGTGTGAGCTATTTTGTCGACAGGATTCGTTGAGCTAGCTGTTCTGCAGTTTTCTGTTTCGACGACAGCATCATGTATGACCTAAAGCATAACCTTCCCAAAGTAGTTAGAGTAATAATCATGATATCGGTGAGCTACTTACTGTTCCGGGGCTCGGCTATAAGTCAGAAAGACATGCGAAGTCGACGTAGAACCCTGAACACACATGCATTGGTTCAAGTTGCCACACTTCAAAGTGGCATTCGGAGAACAGGTGGATAGAGAAGAATTTACATCAAAGTAGACAAAGTTGTGTGAGAGAGTAAACGAATTGAGGACAACGATTAATGCAAATATTCAAGCTATAAAAGATGTCAAGGAGTGAATACACCTGCGCCAATGTGGTCGATTTCCAACCAAGTCACCAAGAATCCTCCACCACTGTTTCCTATCGTTTCGGGGACAGTCTACATATTCTCACGCGACTCAGGTCAACAGTGAGGGAGTTCATCGACTGGTGCCACGCTTTGATCTGGGATCCCTGAACCACCTTCCAACCTAATTCAACTTCCCCTAATATGGTACGTCAAGGTAAGCGGTGACTCGGCATATGCAGCACATGTCCGAGCCGTCTCAAACGATGGATGTTGACAACTTCATCAATAGAGTAGCGTATCTTGTCTGGTATCCTTCGCCTGCCGTCAACATAGCTCACACGGTGATCCCACCAAACGCGAGCAACGCTACGAAAATACTCGTGATCAAAAATCGGTAACCGCTTCATGTCGTCTACTGTTAACAGCCATTTCTCACAGCCGTACGGCAGGACAGAACGGACTGGATCGTAATTTATTTGTCCTTTGATAGATAGTGGGATATCTCACCAGTCAGCGCTACAGGTGATGCGAGTTGGCAAGTGCCAAACGGGCTTTCTGTATCCGAGTTGAGATTTTGTGAGCGACCAGTCAGTTCGAGCTGATGTAACTCCCCAAGTAAGTAAAGTGTTCAGCACAGGTGTATATGGTTGGAATACTTATATAGTTGACTGATTTTTATTTTATAGTATGAGCTGGTGAGGTTGAATTATGGGTTTTCGATAACTAGCGGTGTTGATTAGATATGAAGTTACCCAACTTATCAGCGTTACTGATGTAAATCGAATAAAAATTTATTTGTAAGGTAGATGCCTTTCTCTTTGCATCCTTGGTGTTGGCGTTGTACATTTAGACGCTAAGGACGTTGGTGTGGAAGTAACTCGCATCACTTCGCTGTGTAGGGTTGTAGCACTGTGGATGTATGTTAATTAGACACTGACCTTTCAAAAGTTCAACATTTTCTGATGTCTTTGGGGTACAAGTCATCTCAATAAGGTATGTAATTCGGTTTCAACATAGAGTTTGAGCTAGCTACGAAAAATTTGCCTTTTATCTTCAGGTAATCTACGAGGTATTTATCTGCTCCATGTAAAAAGGAAAATAGTTACGTTGGAGTTACGACGTAGGTGAAAGAAAATGTTAACAGTCATATATCTCGTGAAATAAAATAAGGAAAAGAAGTAGTGAGTTTATTAATTGAACTGTTGACCCAATCGAATTTCGACTTCAGACCCTCCGCACTATACGGCTACAGACCATAAATATGCGATCCTATTTTATGTTTGCAGCAAAGGTAGTATGTTCAAGGTGTGGAGCATAAGAATGCAGAGACATTTTAAGTCGACACAGTCAGCTGGGATTCCATCCATTTCGTGACGGCTGTGAAGATTCATAAACCTATGTCAGAAAAGTCAAAGTTTCTCAAATAGGGGCTCCAGTAACAGCGTATTATCAGCATCATGTCTTCCAAAGCGCTGATAATAATCACTGTTGGAAGAAATTGTAAGTATCAGAATCTCTCTCATGGTGCATGTATATGTCGTAATTCAAGTATTTTTTTTCTGTTAAAATTACAGTCCCCTTAAAAGTTGCGAAATAAAGCAATGAAGTTTGCTTTCTATGTCCAACAGAATTTCATTTTTGTTGTCACTAATTACCACTTACTAATTTTGTTCGTGCATTGAGTACGCACTTATGAATCGTTCGAAAATTCTCAGAAGCGTTAAAAATCCTTGATTAGTAGCAAGCATCTCACTTATTGTGGCATAAAGTATTTTCCCATCTTTCTATTTGGTTTGTTAAACTGTGGTTTTATCTACCGAGTCCATTTGTTCATGCAAACTCAAGAAATTACGTCTAAGAACCAAAATTTGTTGCCCCAACTGCCGTCATTCTTTCATGTCTGTGCTGTCATACTTCATGAAATGTTTGGCGGGATGAGAACCAGAAATTCATTCGCTGGATTCTTTGTAATGCAGTCTTAGCCCCCTCATTTAACAGGGTGGATATCTTATTTTATGGAGGCTTTTGGGTGCGAGACAGTTACCGCCAGTAGACTTGTGGGTGTCAGTATACCTTCACAAAAAATCGCATTTCCCGTCTTATTCTCAGTCGAACGTTTGTTGCCTACTTAATCCACTTAGTTAAAAACGTGAACAATCAAGTCTTTGTATATTTACCCTGATCGACATGGTTTTTATCATAGACAGGGTCGCTTTATTTGAAGTTTTAAGGTTCTAGATATGAATAATCTAGTTTTCTAGTCTGATCGATGTTGCATCGGTCATATCTCAGCTATTCTCTAAATTTCGGATCATAGGTATATATGTTAGCTTAGCGTGCAAGTTGGAAAAGTGACACATTTGATCGATCTGTAGGCTACGAGTGCTGTTAGAAACGCATCTGTGTTGCCAGCCAGTCTAATAATATATAGTAAAACCATTGGTCATTCTTGACTATTTTACTAGTACTAGTGACTGACAAAATCTAGGGAAATTTAGAGGTAAGTCAAATACTTGTTTAAAACAATTAGTTCCCTTTATAAACTTCGACAAAACAATAAGAAGACGTAAATTGTCTGAACGGTGTAATGTATTTGCGCAACATATTTCGAACTATCTGATCACACACGTACTTGTCATAGGTATTTATACAAAAATTCATGAAGATAAGGGGTGAGAAAATAAGAAGGGGTCAGGTAAGGAGGCTGAATTAATGGCCGAATAACAACGAAAATCAATAGAGCGAAAAATAATAGTACGTCGAACTTGGTTTTCAATAGTTGAATTTACCGAGGAAGTTTTAATGTGGCAACAAATTGTTTATGAACACACAAAGGTGGTTTCAACTTTCTAATAGCTAAGGCCTCAACAAATTTAAGGATCTCTCCCCAACATGTTTTGTAAATAGGTGTAAAGAAAGTAAACATATCAATCCTGTTGCCTGTCTCAACGATATGTTTAGCGATCGAAGAACTTGGACGTTTTCTACCAACATTTATGGGTTCAGGTGATTTAATTTGCTTCTGAAGCCACTTTAGAATATGTTCCGAGGTCCTTACTTGCATGGATTTATTAGTCCTCCCTATGTATGTGTCACCACACGTATATTTGAATCGGTAGATACAATGGGATGTAACATTGTCTTCACATGCTGTGGGAGTTTGGGGGAATATATGGGCTTCATGGTTTTGATTACTCGAACCCTGGGGGCATAGTAAATCCTTCTAACAGCAGCATTAAGTCTCTACTTGAGGACCGCGCTATGAGAGTCACCTTTGTACTAAAGGCTGATGAAGACATCCTTCTTTGAGACAGACTTATGGTCTAGTTTTGGCGCTCTGATAATTTTGGTCCGCCTGATAAATGTTGACGGATAGTTATTTTCCAGCAGAATATCAGTCAGTGTTCCCCTTTCGTCTTCTAAAGTATCCTTTGAGCATATTCGTTGAATTCTGCTGAATAAGCACCTTACTAACGTTCGCTTGTACCGAACTGGGCAAAAGCTATGGTAATTCAGATATTGCCCTGTCCATGTAGGTTTTCTGTAGATAGACCGTTTTATGGATCCGTCCTGCCTTCGACTAATTAATATATCCAGGAACGGCAAGCAGTCATCTTCTTCTCTTACACATGTCAAGGATATGCTGTTCTGTACTTCGTTCAGTCGGTTTAGAATCGAAGTATCGAAGATATGTTGATAATACCCTAATCATTTGTGAAAGCTCAAATCAGTCTACTTCAATTGATTTTCATTGTTATTCGGCCATTAATTCAGCCTCCTTACCTGACCCCTTCTTATTTTCTCACCCCTTATCTTCATGAATTTTTGTATAAATACCTATGACAAGTACGTGTGTGATCAGATAGTTCGAAATGTGTTGCGCAAATACATTACACCGTTCAGACAATTTACGTTTTATTGTTTTGTTAAGTGTTTGTTGCTAATTCGAGCTTCTTATAATATTTAGGCACGTGATGTGGTCGCGGGAGGTTAAAAATGTAAGGAAAGTATATTTATTTAAATAAAAACACATTCGAAACAATGGTGACATATGTCAGTACCATTGATTAAGTAATGTTAGAAATAAAAGCAGTTTTAGATAAGAAAAGAAAATAAGCGGATCAGGATCAACTACTACAGTAGAGACATGAGTTGTAAATCTAAATTCGATACCCCCGTTGTATGCGGAAGCAACTAACGTAGTTGGTGAAATGTATCGGACTATTTCATGTTGTGGCAAAGGTTACATTTTAGACGTGTGAAAAGGCTCCTTGTTTGGGGGTACACGAGGTGCTAGGGGTTACTTGGTTACGCAAAAACCACCACATTTACTAGGATACATGCACTCCCTATCTGAGCTGAAACACTAAGCTGTCTTTTCATTAAAGCCGTTCTAGTTGACAAAAATGGGTAATCTGCCCTGATGCGTCATTGCACAAGTTTTCAGTTTGATTTGCTTCCTTTTGATTAATATTTACATTGAGTATCCTGCATATTCTCTGTTAAATTTTGTTATCTAAAATACTTCAGAAATAGCTCATTACTGAGCAGTAAAGCATTCGTGTGTGTTACTTCTGACTTCATGTAGGAGGTAGGTGCTACTGTCCATGCAATCATGGAACAACTCAATTTCTCGTGGCCTTACCGTCTTATCTGGCAATCAAAAGTCGGCCCAGTTACCTGGTTAGGTCCGTCAGCAACTGATACTCTGCATGGGTTGAGTCGTCTGGGGCACCGACATGCACTTTTGGTTCCCGTTGCATTTACTCAAGATCATATTGAGACCCTCTATGAAATGGACGTAGAATACTGTACAGAGGTAGCATCTAAAGCTGGTATGGTTTCTGTACGCAGATCGAAATCACTGAACGACGACCCTATTTTTGTTCAGGTATGTTTACTTAGCGTGTGGATAATATTCTAATCAACTTGCTGTAACTTTCGGTTTGTCTTAGTATTTTCCGTTGTAAATACATGTGCTGAAGTATTTCCACTCAAAATCTAGAAAATGTAAATTAGCAACCACGTGGATGTCCATGCTAAAACTGAAATACTTTCAGCAAGCATGTGCACGTTCATATAGTAGAAAATGAGCCGCATCTACTGTGCGCGGGTTTGTGATACCACCTGCCTACCCAAACTTCAGCAGTCGAAAGGGGGTTCGAACCCGCAACCCGTTGGTTGGCAGTCGAATGCCTTGGCTAATAAGCCACAGCCACACAACGCGAAACTGAAATACGAAAATTAAAAAAGGAACTGGGATGATCAATTCACATTTGACCACACTTCGTCAGGTTTTACAATCTACACAATCCACCGTTTAGATCACCTCGATCTAGCTTGCAAGCACTGCTGATCAATATCAGTGGTCTGCAACTACTCGTGTCGAAGAATAGTATATATCACTATCCTATGACTTCCGTTTTTTAATTAATGCTAGCACTAATCCATCATCTTCGTTACAGTGCATAACAATGATAGATTGAGTGAAATACATGTGTAACACTAACAGTGTTCACTGTTAAGTAGTGAAATTAATTTACTGAAACAAGAATAAAACGTGCAGTACTGAAAACTTCTACACTGTTACACCCATTAAACTTTAATTGAAAGTGTGAACATGATATTTGAACCTGAATTGATCAACATAGTTTTACCTACCAGTAGACAAACAACAAAAGATCATTTGATGTATCCACCGTACGTGATAGAGTAAGAATTTTTTTAAACCTTAGCATGGGCTAATGTAGGCCAAATATGATTTGTTTTACATCTTGTCGAATGAACTTAATTACCTAAAAGTAACCTTATAAATGAGTTGAAGTTCGTTGCAAAGCCATTTGAGCTATTACTTTATATAATACTAACTGTTTTCTTATAGCTTACCACTTCTAAACAGTTTCTACTAATGGTAAGGTGTAGCTATTGGACTATGTTATTAAAGTGAACATCATAGCTGACAGGACTTACTGAGATCATGAGGTCTATCGTAATACATAAATCATTCAAACTAACCAAGACTTTGTGAAGAGTACAGATTAAAGGATATTGTGAAGTCAGTATTCGTGGAACTCGCCTAATTCATTCTGAATGGAATTCATTATAGTGCAGGCACGTGCTGAAATGAAATTAACACATTTCCTGGATTCCATTGTTAGGCACCACAGTGAGTAATCATTGCTTTCTTAAGATCGGTAAAAGTGATCTAAATTGTCCTGCCAGTCATGTTAGTTATTCATTTAATTAGTTGTGGTAATGAAACAATATTACGCTAAGAATTCATGAAATAGAGTCTTTAATTTTTGGTCTCACGCAGTTTCCACCTACGTCTGTCTTCACAGTTTACTTTTACAATAAGTCATTATTTCCATGGAAAATATTCTTTTTGAGAACACGTTTGTAAGTCATATTTTTTTTCTCGATTATTTTCGTGTTTCACCTCTATTTCAGGGTCTCGCTGATTTGGTTTTCAAGCACCTTCGTCGAGGTGAACCGTGTACACGACAATTCATGCTTCGCTGTCCAATGTGCACTAACCCATCCTGTGAGACTACAAGAACATTTATTGCAGCACAACAAGGGCGTATAAATGACTGGACAGTTTCCCATTTACATAACTCTGAACCTGTTTCGCTAGCTAAGCATAAATAAAGCCGAAACCGCTTTTTTATTGTTTAAGAAAGGAATCCCTTGTTCTATATGTCCTTATTTGTTTGATAATTATTCTTAGTTAAGTTTTTATAACCCTTTATGGTTATTCTTAATTAAACAAGTCGATGCAATGACTCAAGTTCAAGAGTAACATCTAATTTAAAGTAGTCCTCATCAGTTCTTAGAAATATTTGAAGAAGATTTATTCTCTTCAGCGTCATCATTCTCAAAACTTATAGTCTAGTATTAAATGCTACAGCAGAAAAGCATAATTTAAAAAATATCTTAGTAAAATTAAATTTTGTTTACTTATCAGAAGATCGAAAAAGAACAACTGAATTTAAATTAAAGAAAGCCTGTCAGGTGGATTTTCTAATACTTTTGACTGTTTATTTCTCTTTTGTGATACATACCACTAGTTAAGTAAAGGAACTTACTAATCTGAAAGAAATGTTTCAGGTACTCTACTTTATCCCACTTCTATCATTCTGAGGTTAGTATTTGATAGACAGTTCAACAACTTATTCACCACCTACAGGGCCCTCATTACCCACTAGCCTACCATATCAGTTAAGTGTTGGTGTACAGTGAAATCCGTCAAATTGATTCTCAAAAATAGTTCGATCTTGAGGTTTTCAGATTCAAAAATGTCCAGTTTATGATAATTCCATACAACCAACTCTACAGTGGCTCATATACGGTTGTATCGTATTGTAATGAGTTAGTCCACCGATAAATAATGATGTAACTGAATCTAATACAAGTTTCTTTGAAGAAAATTATCTCTCGATACAAATTTAAGACTTGTGTGCATTTGCGGAACTCAGTACATTGGTCGCACGGAGAGACGTGTCTACCCGAATGGTTGGGCACCTAGCCAGTGGCTGATGCATGCCGGGAAGAAGACCCCATGGAACTCGATAACGAAACACCCAATGGACTCGTGCATGGTATTCATACCTGTGAGTCTTTTACGGTTACCAGCAGACAGCAAAATAAGAAATCCCTTTGATGGTGTTGTGTTTTATGAGCTGGATTGTTTAATCGTGAAGCTTTCGTTATCACTCTAGACAATATCATCAGCGCAAACTTCGGAAAGGGGTAGGCTATTAAGTTTTGAGAACAAGTTGCTTAGCAGCTTGTAATGCTGACCTCAAGTGTGGCTGTCTCCATGATTTGTTGTCCTGATGGCCTGAAATTCGACCTCCTTGTTATTTTTTATTGGTTGACAGATTAAGTCAGCGTCAATATGTCTGTTAATTGTTAACTGACCTGAATACCAAGCTTCTAAACATTCTGTGGCATTCTTTGTATTTTTTTTATCCAGCCAAATTCACGTCCAGTTGTCCGTATGCATTAATATAAGCGAAGATATGTCATGACACTTCACTGCTAGTTAGTGTTCATGTAGACGGATGCGAAGAGGGCGGGCTTCCACTCTATCCGATGTAGTGTTTTTCGCATCTTCTGCAGTTTATTTTGTAAATAATGTTTGGTTTGTCTTCCTTCTGTATTGTATCTTTGGCCTGCATAACAGCGAGTGAAGAGAATTTTTTGGGCCTGTGAGATACAACGATTTCAAGAGGCTTCAATAATCTAGCCGTGATCTCGGAGACGTTCTTCACGTATAGTAGGACGATCTATTTGTTAGTTTTCTAGATCGACTTCTTGGTTAGTGACGAATGATGTAAACATCTTTTGATGAAGTTGTGTGAATAGTCGTTCTTCTGCAAAACAGTCATCAAATAGTTTTATTCTTTTCTCTTCGGGGTTATTGTACTACTATGTGTTGTCGTTCTTTTGAACAACGTTTTCATACAAGCGATTTTGTGTGCTGTTGGTTTGGTAGTTGAGGATTTGGACCGTATGAGTTGAATTTCTGTATACTTCAGTTTTCAATTTAGATGAATGTGTTCTGATGATCACAACATCTAGAAATGCAAGTTTGTAATTTGATTCCTCTCCATCAAAATTATCCTCGTGAGCTACAAATTCTGTCCATCGTCTAAGAAACTGTTTCCAATTAGAGAAGCCTGTACGATTCGGGTTTTTGGACCAAACCTCTGCATTCAGAAGGAAACGGTAGTCAGTTTGAATCTACCATACTAGGAATTCCAGCGTCGTCCAGTCATATTCGATCTTCCTTACTTGCTCTTCACTCTTAATTATCAGCCGTCTTATATTTTTGTTTTTCTTCCTTCATTTGTTTCGCCTAATTAACCTTATTCCTACTCCTATTGTTATCATTATTATGCATCTCAATACACACCTGGTTTTCCTACAATATCTGCTTGAGTACTATTAAGTATCTTGTCTTGAATGACGTAATCTACCCTCAGTCGATTCAGTTCTCACTCCCGTGTCAACATATTATTATAAAAATTATTTTCCTACCTGAAATCTTTATGACCCTTAGACTGCACTATTATCCAAACTCATAGTTAATCATGTAACTTATCCAAAACCCATTTAGTTTTACATCCATTTCTGCCCTTTGACCTTTAAAACTTTATTTCTATGCTGTTACACCAAAATCGATATCTCGGTGTACGTAATATATTGAGGTATGTATGCTTTTTTGCATTTTTTAACGGTATATATAATCAAGTATTACAGAGTGTCCAGTTGACATTTATGAATTCATTAAATACTGTTTTCTTTCACAAGTTTATTTGCTACATTATGAGTTGCACTCATCGTTAGAAGGCTGATAACAATACCTGATTGCTCAATTGTAAGTGAACAGAACAAGGTTTAGAAGTCAAGTGTTTAAGCCAATGAATCACATTAACAGAGTAACAACACTGCTTCTAGATGTAGCTTCCTACTTTATCAACTTCGAGTGTAAAACTTGGGCCCTGTGCTAGAGTTTAGTTCCATATTAGATTTGTTTATCCGATTTATAGCACAGTGATACAGTATTATTCACTTAGTGACTTTTTGTTGTGGTGCATCTGATAGATGCCAGTTTTAACTACCGTTGACTTTTTTAGTTGAATGGAATCGGGAAATGTTCAGTGTGAATTGTAAATTTTTTGAATGTTTGTTTGTAACGGCTACATAAATGTTCTTCTGTTATTTTGGTTTCTCCGTTGTTGAGTATTACTTGATTGCGATACCAAGGTTGTGAGTGACTTTGAAAAAACCATGATATTAAAAACACCAATTTATTAACCAAAGCAATTCGAAATGCACCAAGCAACTACCTGTATATTCATGCAGGAGGCAATAAGCCATATATGCTGTATTTGGGGGTTTATTACGCTATCTGGCCTCCCAGACTTTAGGAAATGGAACGGAGTTTCTACCCGTGACCCAGTTTTTGGAAGTTTAACACCTAGACCAGTGAGCCACAGCTCCACTCTTTATCAGCCAGGCTCATAGGTTCGATGTACGTTGAATGTCTGTGTGAGCGCCTTATCTAGACGCTGATACATTAAAAAATTAGCTACCTTCTGTTGATTATTATGCCCCCATTGTTAAAAAGTAAGGAAAGAAATTTCTCTGATAGTAGTCTTGTCCTTCTTAGTCTTGCAAGAAGTTCAGAAAACCACACATAAAATCCCAAACCTGACTGTTGACTAAACAGTGTAGAGTTTCCTTTGTGCCATAAACTAGGTTTAGGACTTGATATAAGGTAACTTAAAGTTCCAACGAAGCTCTTTTACTCTGTTTTTGATTTCCTCTTGTTACTACATATACTATTGCGCATTCATTTCCCTTTTGCTGTAAGGTTGTGGGGCATTGTGACTAAACGCAAAAGATGAGAGGAAACTTTAAATATTTATTTTCTGGATTTATTCTAAGTGTTGTTCATCTTTGCGTTTGGATGAAAAGCTTTTATTTCGATAACGTGTATACAGTTGAGCTAGCTCTGAGTATACCCGTACATCACCCAAGCTATCATCAATTTGGAAAGGTGTTGCGTCGTTATCTAGAAGTAAAAGAACATAGACGCCCAAGAATTTTCTAGGAAGGAGATAATATACAGTTAGCCTTTCCAACTTAAAAGAATTCGGTTTTAAATTGTTAGAAAATTAGTTGAGTAATTTACTGGGTCGCCAACTAGTGTTCAGTATCCTTGAGGGCTTGTTTTATCGGGCGAGCATCCACTCACGGTCGACTGACACCTTCCCTCCTGTGTAAGTTGATGGGCCTACACCTTCAGAGTTCTTACTTCATAGGGTATGCCTAGATCAGTCAAAATCGAATCAAAATGCACTCAACAGCCTTGTGCACATTTGTGCAATAAGCAATGAGCCACACGTATTTTTGTGAGGGATACTAATACTACCTGGTTATCCATATCTCGGTAGGAGAAGCGGGCTTCGAACGTGTGGTCTATTGGTTGAAAGTCATCTCCCTAAAGCAGTGAGTTACAGCTCCGAGTCGGAATATCCTGATATGATATCAGTGGTGCATATGGGCTCATCAATCCAGAACGGACTAATGGTGAATGAAGCTAAGTTGGTCACCTGCAACCATGGGAATGCAGCAACTCATAGTTGCGCTGCTGATTTGTGGATAAGACTTCAAATTAAAGTCTGAGGGCTTGATCTCTTAAGACAGCCGTTTGATTGGGAAGTTTCACGCCACACATACAACTGACGAATAAAGATTGACCATTGAAGTTACTGAGCTCTCATCGAATCCGTCTGCACGAGTCGAAATTTTTGATGTGACGAACTTTCTACTCAATACAATTTGTATTGAGTATATCATATTATTATCGTCGTTACTTTTACATCTACACTACAGTGTCTTTTGGTCAAAATTTTGAGATTTGTCTTCACGTATATTTTCGTTTTTCTCAGCTATTCGTCGGTGACTACAACTGTGGTCTGTCCACATTGTCTTTAGTCGCCAAACAGGTACCTACAGAAAGCTATCCTCCAGTGCGATATGACAACTATTGTGAAAGCACTTACACCGCTTAAGTTGATAGCCTTCAACGTCCGGACCTTGATGCAGAACCGAAAACAGACTAGTTTAGCTAGAACCATGGAAAGCCTTACTATTGATGTGTGTTGTATTTTTGAGACCTGCATACAGAAGTCTATAAAAGTGCTTCTAATAACTTCCTTCCGTCAGCTCAAGAAGCCTATTCCCATTACTTTTATCCGGGTAGCCTGTAGCATCAGCAGTCTGCCTTGTTGGTTTAGGTATAACGTTAATTACCAGAGCGAAAGCTGCACTAGTCGACTGGATCCCTATCAATATTCGTCTCTGTGGTAGTAAGCTGGAAATTTCGATCGATGCAAGAAGTAATCGGTAAGGAGAACGATCTCTCTTCTTCATCTGTCCACGTGCGTCGACTGACTGCAGCGGTGATGCAGCTAATGATGATTTCTACCATCAAGTGAGCGACATACACGAAGTGCACTCAACAGGGATTGTTATGTTAGCTGGGTAACTGAATGTACTGTTCAAACGTTTAGGTGGCCAATGGGGGCTATTAGGTTGTAAGTCAGTTAATGGAGAACACGTTTTACAACTATGCACAGAACGCAACCTATTTCTATCCACCACCGACTTCCTGCACAACCACCGTCAACGGGCTACTTAGTGTTCTCACTCTCCCATTCAAACCTGGACTCAATTACATCATCTTTCGTTTTGGTGGTCATCAAAATCTTCTGAAACGGGTCGACGTATGCAATCTGGTTCTGTCTAGAGCTGCAACTACATACGAAACCTGGGAAGATTCAAGACTATCTGTCGAACCCCCTAAAAGTATAGATCAACATTGGGTGCGCTTACAAGGTACAGTGGAATGACTCGTGAGACTACTTGTTGCTTTGACGAACGTCTCACCGATAAACACTAGATCTCTATAAGTTTCATGCTTCTTGACGCATGTCGGTGTGCAGTGCAAGTGGTACTTGCGTAAGGACCGTGAGGCCCGTTGGTCAGAATGTGCGAGTGAGGCGGGAAAAGCAGCTGCATCTGGCAACAGTCGAAAGCTGTTCTAGCTCATCTGAGCCACTCACAGCAAGAAGCCTGGTGACAATGGGACAATTTGTAAGGTAGGTGGTACACCTCACTGGCCACCAACTTTCACAGACGCTGGGGAATGTTCGGCGGAGTACTCCAACAAGTAGGGGCTTACTGTTCAGTCTGCATCCAACTCCATAGTCAGTTCGCAACTTCCCACCTAGCGAAGTGAAGGTACGTAGGGAACTCCAATTTTTAAAGCGCTACAAGGCAGCCGACCCGGGTAACTTCCACATTGTTCTTTTCAAGGATGAACATGAGGTTTTTTCAGAGAACCGGTTACATTGTTTGGTAATGTAGGGTGGACTAAATGTTTTGGAATGAAGCTGTTGTTATACCCATTTTTGAAATGGTCTTGATATTTCCGATAATGATCGAGGTACCTATCTATGTTGAAAAGGGCTGTACTCTGGAATTGTTTACTATAGAGGCACGTCCGTTAGGAGTTTGTTCACGGCCTGAAAGCTGTATACTTCAACATATCAGGTAGAGTGAAGGCTTACTACCACTTATCTCCATTATTACAAACCAATAGTGGGGCTGGTGACATTCTGGAGACAACCATATAGGAAGTGTGGTAGTGATATAGAGCAGTTACCAGGTGGAAGATGGTGCGACCTCGAGTACGCGGATGATATCATTTTACTGTTTGACAACTCAAACCATACTGTCATTTGGAGGTCAATGTCCGTAAGTGTGGTATATGCTTCGCATCATCAAAATGTTCCTGCTGTATTGGCAGGAACCCGCACTGCTGGTATTGACATCTCTGGAAAATATAGAAAAGTTTGTATACCTAGGTGGTTGTGAGATTGTTGGTGGAGGTGTGACTAATAAGATTCCCAACCTTTATCCAAATTCAGATTGGTGTACATCAGTTCAAACTATCTTTTACACTGTTATGTTAAAAATGCTGCAAGAGGTCGGGCATAGAACATGTTGATGTGGGTAATTCTACTCTAGGCCTGTGGAAACTGGCCGCTTTGAGTTGAGCATTTCTGAAAATCCCGGTTTATGTTGTCTCTGCAGGATTGTTGGAGTCCAGTAGACATAGGGGTAATTTTGAAGTGAGACATGCTTGATGGACATCGTCATTCATTGTGTGTTAATCTTGAAGCATCGGCTTCAGTAATTTGAACACATCCTACGCATGCCGCCCCAAGCCACCATATCACTCACCGTTTGCTTACTCTGAGAATAGTTGGGAGAAGCAGAGATGGCTAGTTTATGACATGTTGCCGCGAAATTAAGGATAGTTGCGTTGGGTTAGCATCTCTAGATGCTTCACGACTCATGTGGGTTCTGAGAGATCATGCAGCTCAGCGGCTTCAGACGATAGCCGACATGGTTCAGAATTGAAACCGGTAGCGATCGTTCTGCGGTTTTCTTTTTTTTTCCTATTTCTTAATAGTAAACTGCTTAAAGTGGCGAATGCTTCTTTGGAGGTACGTTTGGGACTGCTTTTTTTTAATTACCTACCGCTTTTTCCTCCATTTTTCATGTCTCCGTAATCTTGATTATTTTGTATGGTACACCCTCTTGGTGCTCATGTTTAACAATGGTACTACTGTTAAATAATATATCGGACGTCTGAATGATTTTTAAATGATCAAAGGTGTTTTCATTTGTCTTTATTATTTGAGCTCACAAGTTAGGTAGGATACTGGCGAA